CTAATATATTTATCTGACCAAATTCATTGCCATACTTGACAACATGGGGGTTCTAACTGGAAGTTGGGCAGGCAATTGGTGGTCTCTGCCATGTTGAGCCTTCAGTCTATTGCTTGGTCTCCCACTTTTTCACCTAAGCCTCCTCTCTCTATCCCTAGAGTAATTAGCCAGTTTTAGTCTTCACTAGGGTTCCCTATCTACTGCCATATCACCTGATTTCTAATATTCAAATGCTTTTTTTTTTTTTTTTTTTTTTTTTTTTTAGCAGCACAGTAAACTCCATTGTGTGTGTGAAGTTTCCCCTGACAGGTGAACTAAGTGGGGGCATTTAGTTCAAACTGAATGTTAAAGACAACTGAATTTTTTTTTCTTTTTCTTTTTTAATAATTGTTCGTATAAATCTTTCTTAAATGTGTTTATAGCTCACATTTATTTATTTATTTATTTTTTGAGACAGTGTTTCATTCTTGTTGCCCAGGCTGGAATGCAATGGCGCAATCTCGGCTCACTGTAACCTCCGTCTCCTGGGTTCAAGCGATTCTTCTACCTCAGGCTTCCCAGTTGCTGGGATTACAGGCATGTGCCACCACGCCTGGCTAGTTTTGTATTTTTAGAAGAGACGGGGCTTCTCCATGTTTGTCAGGCTGGTCTCAAACTCCTGGCCTCAGGTGATTTGCCCACCTCGGCCTCCCAAAGTGCTGGGATTACAGGTGTTAGCCACCTCGCCCAGCCGACAACTGAATTTTAATATAATTTCTCACACTAACTTTATAGCCTAAATCTTCAGTTCCTCTTCCTTATGTAAAATGTCTATCTTACTGCTTTTGTAGCACTTAGCTCTTTGTTTTAATAATTAATTTTAAGGTCACCAGTATCAGAACAAAAATGGCGATGTAATTATATTAAAAGGACAGCAGAGGGGAAATTGGGAAAGGTGTGGGAAGCAAACTGTGTCATCATCCATTGCAGTAAGAAGTTGATACACCATGTTTAACATTGATAAGTAAGTCATAAACAGTTGACTATGCATATTATTTTTAAATGCTCATTTGGATTTTGGTGGAGTGGGGCAGGAAACTATTGCCTCTCAATATGAATAATTTTGTATTATTCAATTTTTTGAAACCCCATGATTGAATTATTTCACTGAAAATGAAAATGTAAAGGAGAAACTACTGACAATGCATGAGACAGCACAGCAGAAAGCAGTTATAATTAATCAGTAATAAGCACCAACAGAGTGGGCCCTAGTAGACAATTAACTACATAAAGGTTGTATTTGGGCTTCAGAACCTTCTCACCTGCAAGGATCAGAAAGCCATTTGCCCTGCTGTAGATTATCAATGAAACTTAAAATGCTACATTTTTTCCTGGATTTTTTTTTTTAATTTGAAAGGAAGTATTAAGGTCCAAAAACAAAACCGTGGGTAGAACTCTGGGTCTCAGTGGTGAGAGATGCTCTGGGGCAAGGCCACAAGCTTTCTAGTGCTCCTGAAATCCTGCTAAGGACATGGTTAGGTAAATTTTACTTGTTGGTAAGGCTGTCACACTAGGAATCATTTACTTCCTCTAGAACGTTGAGTGATATTATTATTATAAGAAATTATTTCTCCAACTTTACTTGACTTTAAAATTTAAAATAGCCCAAAACAGCTTTGAAAAAATAAAGCTCTAATTCATAGTCCTATTTTAAATCAAGCCATCATAATACGATTGTAGCTTTAACGGGGACTGCTTTGAAATAGATCACTTTGTGATAATTATAAGGTATATTACCTCCTCTACTTTCGAAAGAATTGCTACAACTTACAACACCGCACTACAGTATAGGCAGGATGTAATGTGATTTTTAAAGCTCTTCATATGGGAAGATTGGAAGAAATGTTTCATTCCTTTTCAATTTAATATATTTTAAAATTGGAGTAATTTTACTTTTTTCATTCTAAAATAAGACATGTTCATTGTAAAAATTAAAACATACGAAATTACATAAAATATACTGGAGCACAATGTATTTTCCAAAGAAGGTTGCACTGTTCTATATCCTCATCCCACATACTCTTTTTTTTTCTTTTTTGAGACAGAGTCTTGCTCTGTTGCCAGGCTGGAGTGCAGTGGCGCAATCTCGGCCCATTGCAACCTCTGACTCCCTAATTCAAGTGATTCTCCTGACTCAGTCTCCTGAGTAGCTGGAATTACAGGCACGTGCCATCATGCCCAGCTAATTTTTGTATTTTTAATAGAGACGGGGTTTCACCATGTTGGCCAGATGGTCTCCATCTCCTGTCCTCATGATCTGCTCTCCTTGGCCTCCCAAAGTGCTGGGATTACAAGTGTGAGCCACCACGCCTGGCCTGGCCCTTACTCTTCTTTTTTTTGAGACAGAGGCTTGCTCTGTCGCCAGGGGCCAGGCTGTGGTGCAGTGGACTGATCTCATCTCACTGCCACCTCCACCTCCCAGGTTCAAGCAATGCTCCTGCCTCAGCCTCCCGAGTAGCTGGGACTATAGGCACACACTATCACACTCAGCTAATTTTTGTATTTTTTCGTAGAGACGGGGTTTCACCATGTTGGCCAGGATGGTCTCCATCTCTTGACCTCATGATCCACCCACCTCGGCCTCTCAAAGTGCTGGGATTACAGGCATGAGCCACGGCGCCTGGCCAATTCTCTTCTTATGAGATGTTGACACTCCTCCATTGAGAGGTGGGGTCTGGATTCCCACTTTTTGGACCTGGGCAGACCTTTGAAACTGCCTTTGACCAATAGATTGTGACAAAAGTGACTTCCCAGGCTAGATCATAAAAGGCAATATGACTTCTACCTAGTTCTCACACTCTCTGCACTTGTGTCTTTGGAGCCCTAAGTTGTCAAGTAGGAAGTCTACTAAATTGAAACCTCCATGCTGAAGAGATCACATATTAAGAAACACCACAGAGGAGGCCAGGCGTAGTGGCTCACGCCTATAATCTCAACACTTTGGGAGGCTGAGGCAAGCGGATCACTCAAGGCCAGGACTTCAAGACCAGCCTGGCCAACATGGTAAAACCCCGTCTCTACTAAAAATATAAAAATTAGCCAGAGGTGGTGGTACATGCCTGTAGTCCCAGCTACTTGGAAGGCTGGGACTTGCCTGTACATGCCTCCTAGTAGTAGAATCCCAGTTACTCAGGAGGCAGGAGAAACTCTTGAACCCGGGAGGTGGAGGTTGCAGTGAGCAGAGATCGTGCCACTGCACTCCAGCCTGGGCGACACAGAGACACTCTGTCTCAAAAAAAAAAAAAAAAAAAAAGAAAAGATAAACAGAAGGATAAAGAGAGAGTCCCAGGAATAGTCCCAACTATTTAAGCCTTCCCAGCTCAGGCACCAGAAGTGTGAATGAACATGCCTTCGAGATAACCCCAACCCCAGCCACAGTCTTACTGTAATCTCATGGGAACCCCTGATGCAGAACCACCCAGTTAAGCAGTTTCCAAATTCCTGATTTACATAAACAGGGGGAGTTAATAAATCAATAGTGCTACCACATTTTAAGGTGAGTTGTTATGTAGCATTCCATAAGGACAGTCCCTCCTTTCCTCACCCAAGATATAACTACAGTTACTAGTTGGAAGTCTACCTGTAAAGACTTCTTTTTTTTTGAGATGGAGTCTTGCTCTGTCACAGTCTGGAGTGCAGTGGGGTGTGTGTGTGTGTGTGTGTGTGTGTGTGTGTGCGCGTGCATGTGCATGTGCACGCATGTGTGTTTTCTGTATTTTGTATAAACTTATACTATCCTACTATTCTGTAAACTACTTTAATATTTATTGTACTTCCATGCTATTAGATATTCTCTAAAATATTACTTTTATTACTGGAAGGACAGCTATCATTTGAATGTATCATTATTAATGTAAATGAGTCTATTGCTGGATATTTATGTTGTTCTCTATAAAAAATGCTGCAGTTATTACTATATTGGATACACTTGTCCAGTCATTCTTTAGAATATATTTCTAAAAATAAAAATGCTCAACCAAAGGTATTTTGTACAAACTACTAAGTGCATCTGTGTTCCAATTAATGCTTCCATCAAAAGAAAACAAGCATGTGTATTCCCTATCCATTTCTTAACTCTGATCATTTAAAAAATGTTTAATCTTTGCTGATCGCACTGGTTAAAATTATTTTATGTTTTATTCTCATTTACATTTATTTGACGAGTTTACAAGATAGAGCCAACCTGAGTTTTGGTACAGACTGCCCTGAGGAGATTATTGGAAAGGACCTCTCAAAACCACAGGGAGTCCTGCCTAAAGAATCCCAAGCCCTCCTGCCTCCTGGGCCATCATGTGAACTATAGCCTTGCTTAGAGATGACTAGGTTTCGCACACTTCATGCTTTAGCTTTACTAAGTATAAAGATACTTATTTGGGGCAAAGGGACTTGTGAGATATAAGTGACATTGGGAGAACCTCAATGCAGGGCCTTTTTACTCTGGTTACTCTAGGGCATTTTGGTCCATTTGGAATCAAAGTACAAACTGAGGGAGTCCAGTCTCATTATTTGAATTGGTCTTGCTAGACCATATTTCAAGATTATCTCAACTAACAAATGCCAGGGACCTTCTGCAGACTCACAGGAAGGGAATGTTCTTATGGTACTGGTTAAGGAGCTCAGGATTCAGGGAGAGGCAAAGGTGTGGGCCCATAACTCAGTAAGAAATTTTCCTTCTAACTATCCCTGTGCCCAGTTCTTCTTTCTAAAATCCCTCTTCCTTTCTCCAGTTGAACAGACCATATGCCTTCTGGCTTCTTTTTCTTTTTTCCTCTGAGACAGTCTCCTTTGTCACCCAGGCTTGGGTGTGATCTTGGCTCACTGCAACCTCTGCCTTCTGGGTTCAAGTGATTCTCGTGCCTCAGCTACCTGAATAGCTGGGATTACAGGAGCATGCCACCATACCCAGCTAATTTTTGTATTTTCAGTAGAGAAGGGGTTTCTCCATGTTTTGCTGGTCTTGAATTCCTGGCTTCATGTGATCTACCCACCTCGGACTTCCACAGTGCTGGGATTACTGGCATGAGTCACTGCGCCTGGCCCCTTCTGGCTTTTCTAAGTTAGAGGTATCTGTTCCTCACTTAAGGCACTTACTCCTTTTTGCCTCATATTGTGGTTATTTTCTTATTGATTTCCTGCACTATACTGGACTTTAGATTGTGTCTTTTTCACCGTTAGCTCTCGCTGCAATGCACAGGTGCTAGCAGGATCTTTTTATTAAATGTTCCTAACCCCTCTCTTTTAAGTCAGAGATCAGCAAACTATGGGCTTCAAACCAAATGAAGCTATCTGCCTGTTTTTTTAAATAAAGTTTTATTGGGACACAATTATGCTCATAATTTCTGTATTGCCTGTGGCTGCTTTTGATCTAAAACAGCATGGCTGAGTAGTTGGGACAAATCTTATAGCCTGCAAAACTGAAAATATTCACTATCTGGCCCTTTGTAGAAAAGGCTTACCAATCCTTGTTCATTTTTAGTAAGAAATTTGTCCTTGGACTATATCCATTAAACCACTCACTGCCTTTCTTTCTGCCTTATGACATCTGTAAGCATTGTAATTATGAAGTATTTTGAGAAAGATTCATCATAAAATGGAATCTCATGTGGGGAAGTGTCAGGTATCAGTTTAAAGGTGCTGCAGTAAGCTCATGTACAACCAAAGAAGTGTCTAGACCCTTGTCAAAAACAGTTGTCATTGAAAAATGATAACCTGGCATTGCAGATTTGTAGATAATTTCTCAGAGCTTGGTTAATGTGAATCTGCCACATGGAGAGCCAGTTATGTACCACCCCAGCTGGGATTAGTCTCTCCTTTCTTAATGCTCCCAGAATCCTGCATTCTCTGTCACAGCATTCATTTCAATTGGCCTTGTATTAATTTTTTAACAAGTGTGTCTCAAGATAGGGTTATAAACACCCCGTGGTAAGGAACTCTTTTGCTCAATTCTGTTGCTTCCATAGAGTTTTTGCAAACTGGATATCAATGAATGATCACTGAATAAATGTCATTAATGCAAGCATGAAAAATAGATTTATAATAAGAGTGTGAAAACATGGGCAAAATCTCAGCAGAGATTCTTCAAACTGAGCTTCATACATGTACATTTTGAATACTGCTTATTCTGCTTATGTCCCTATTTAACCTGCTCATATATATGTATAGAAAGGAAGTCATCTCAAGAATGCCTACTATACAATAGCACTTTGTTGTTTAAAAACAAAACAAAATAAAACAATTCTCAAGAAAAAGCAAATGCCTTGTTTCTAGAAAAAGAAAATTCCTTGTCTGAGATCAAGTGGTTTTCTCAGGAAATTAACATTATTGTGAACCAGAAAATCCCGCTGGACCCATTTCCTTAACTATTCCCTTTACAGTAAAACTTTAGCAGGTAATAAACCCTATTTAGCAATCCGAGTGACAGATGACCCAACAGACCTGTGGGTTTTACCTATGTGAAATAACCCTTATAATCAGGCCCAGTGGAGTCTAACTAGGAAAGCAAAACATCCCTATGGTACTTGATTTGCCTTTGTAGAAAGTGGAGCTCTTGGTTGCAAAGTGACAGAAACACAGTTTGAATTAGCCTAAAGAAATGGGATAGGGTGTGGGGGTTGCTGGTTCAGAAAAATCCAAGAAGGAGGTGAGTAACCAAATGATGGGGAAAGTTGGAATCCAACTGGGCCTCATGGAACTATGGGAACCAAGAACTGGACGGCTGCCAGAGCTCTCTTCTTCTCCATTTGGAATCTCTGCCTCTTTCTATGTGCTGCTCTCATTGTTGTTCAGTGTAGATCAACTTTCTCTACTAGCAAGGAAACCTAACCATACACAACTTCCTTTTTCTCCCTTTTTTTATCTTACATCTTTACTCTTTGAGAGGTAGAGTCACTCTTCATTTTAATCAGAAAAATCCCAGAGAAAAACTTTGAGTCCCAGTTGAGTCGAATCCAACAGGAGATGTGGTCATATAAGAAAATGACAGCCGTCTAACATAGATGTGGGTATAAAGAAGAGGGAGAAATGGAAGAGGAGTGACAGTTCCTAAGAGAAGGGGCTGGAAGGGTATTGAGTTGACAATTCTGTAGATGTTCTCTTCTTCTTTTTCAGGGTGTGGGCTATCCTATTTACAAACAAATTCTTAAGCTTTTGGAAAGACAAGAAAGAGGGCTAATGAAGAGCCACACAGGTGCCTCTCAGCCAAAGGGATGAAGAGGTAAATGTTCACACTTGTTTGAAGTACAGTCAGTGAATGGCCAAAGGCTTCCCATCAGAAAGGATTGAAAGAAACTCACAGGCACCTAAAATGTGAAACACCTAAAATGAACCTTCCCAGTAAATACTGTGACAGGGCTGGTCTATTTTCCTAAAGCAAAAGGCTAAAACTCTGGGCTGCCTTATGGTTCCTCCAAGTCCTGCCCCAGGACTGCTGCCAGCCCATACAGGAGCTTTGTGCAAATTAGAAAGTCATGCCCTCTTTGATGCCGAGACTCCTGTGTTGAGCACTGAATTTCAGCCTCTGTCTGTCCCTCAGACAGGCATCTTTGTGCAGGGCCCAAGCTGCACAAGCATCTGTGGCAGCCCTAGGCCTACCAAGAAGGAGGTAGGATAGGCAGGCTGCTCCTTCTCCAAAAGCAAGGACTTACAATATCAGTACACATGAGACTTGGTGGTAGGTTGGGCTTGGTGATTAAAGACAGTAGCAGGAACAGCAATAATGGCAGAATTCAAAGGACTCTAGGGATGGGTAACCTACCTCTGGGTACTGGAGCAATAGAGGTTCTGTGGGTGGAGAGACCAGCAGCAAACTCCACCGGCAGAGCACCAGCAGAAGCAGCACAAGTGTCACTGAGGTTCTTAGAATGATACGATGAACAATAGTGACAGTTAAGTCTCCCCAATTAAAAAAATTTTTTTTCTTGCTCAAGAATTTATGTAACAGAATGTCTTGGTAGAGATTAAATTTTTTGTTTCCTTTCATTTAACCTTTGAAACCTAAATATAACTCACTTTTGAAGGGTATGATTGAATAAGGATTTAAGGAAGCTGTCCCTAGAAAAAATGTGAGGATTTAGAAGTTTGTATTCAAACTTGCCGACTAGCCACTCTTAGAAGAGAAGCCACAGCCCCAATTTGTTTAAAGAGGGAAGAATCAGTGTATTTAGGGTGACTGCCCAAAGGAAAGGCAATGGCTCCTTAAACTAGTAACAGGGAGGGAAATGATCAAGATCAAGAGCAGGGTCGGGGTGGGAGGGACCCTAGAATCTGGGCGTCCCCTCTGATTCCAGCTGGAGATCAATGTTCACCCAGGCAGATCTTGAAGCTGTGAGCAGGGGACAGGTCTGCTGCAAGTGGAGATCATGGCAGCACCTAAAGCAATGGCCAGAATGGAGAAGCCCTCATCCCAGCGCTGCAGTCCAGGGAGTAAATGCCTAGGCAGTATGCCACTTTGCTTTTAAATACCCATTTATTTTTGTGCTTCGAAGGAGCCGCCCATGAATATTCTAGTCACTGTGTGAGTCAGTCTTGTTCCCCAAGTGCTGCTGCAATGCTGCAGCCATCCCACCCTCCCCCACTGCTTCCTGGGCCTCCCATATGGGAACCAAGAACTGGACGGCTGCCAGGGCTCTCTTCTTCTCCATTTGGAATCTCTGCCTCTTTCTATGTGCTACTCCCATTCTTGTTTATTGTAGATAATCTTCTCTACCCGAAAGGAAACCTAACCATAACACAACTTCCTTTTTCCTCCTTTTTTATCTTACGGCTTTACTCTTTGAGAGGGACAGTCACACTTTATTTTAATTAGAAAAATCCCAGGGAAAAACTTTGAGTCCCAGTTGAGTCAAACCCAACAGGAGATGTGGTCACATAAGAAAATGACAGCCTCTAACATAGATGTGGGTGTAAAGAGGAGGGAGATACCATATGAGACACTGCTCAATTCCCCTGGCTGCTGTTGAGCTAGGGACTGGGCTGGGGCTCACACTCTGACACTAGGTAGAGGCCCAGGATTGCACAGGGTGGGAGAATGGAAGAGACGTAGGCACTTGAGTATGTGACAAAAAGTGGCATTCACATCCCTGAAGAAAAGGAGGGAGCTTTCAAAAATATTGGGAAGATTGGATAGTAACTAGCAAGAAAATATTAAATGCTTATCTCATTGTACCAAATAAATTAGGCCAAAGATTTACATGTAAACACTTTTAAACACAAAAGTAAAATAATATAGGGGAAAAATAATGATAAATAATGTTGAGTACAATTGAAAACTTCTGTGTAGCAAAAAAAATTAAACACAAAGTTGAAAGACCAATGACAAACTGTGGAAAATATTAACAATACTGTCCAAAGGTAAAGGGCTAATATCCGCACAATAATAAAAGAGCTTATATAAACCAAGAAAAATTAAAAATCTAATAGAGAAAAATGGGTAGAAGTCACAAACAGATAAATCACAAATGGAAATGGTCAACAAACATATGGAAAAATGTTCAATTCACTAATATTCAGAAGGCAAATTAAAAAATAACAAAATGATTTTACCTATCAGACCAGCAAAGACCTCTAAAAATTGATCAAACTCACACATTGATATGCTTCAGAGAAATATACATTTTGTGCTTTTTCTGTGGGTATATAAAATGACACAACTTCTCAAAAGGGCTATCTGACAAAAAGTATCAAAACATAAGATGTACATACTCTTCACTGCAACAGTTCTTGTCAGACTTTACCCCAAAGAGATAATGCAAATTTGAAAAGATGTACTCACACTTTGTTTATACTTTTGAAAAACAGGAAACAACTTTAATGTTCTTCAGTAGGGGTTGGCTAAGTAAATTGTGGTCTAAGCATCCATGGAACACTGTGCAGCCCTTAAAAAGAGTGATACATATATATTAGATTGGTGCAAAAGTAACTGCAGGTTTTCAAAATCCAGTATATTGATGCAGAGAGATGGCTTCAATTATTGATTCTTTGCAGCCCATTTATTCAATCATGTCAACAGCTATCTTTTCTCATCAGCAGAGTTTCTGATCATTCTACCATTATTATTATTATTATTTGAGATGGGTCTCACTCTGTCACTGACTGGTGTGATCTCAGCTCACTGCAGCCTTGACCTCCTGGGCTCAATTTGTCCCACCACCTCATCCCCTCATACTGCCGCACCTAGCTTAATTTTATTTATTTCTTTGTACAGACAAGGTCTCATTATGTTGCCCAGTCTGGTCTCGAACTCCTGGCCTCAAGTGATCCTCCTGCCTTGACCTCCCAAAGTGCTGGGTTTACAGACATGAGCTACTGAGCCCAGCCTCTACCTTTATTAATTATAGAATTTGGCACCTGACATATAGTCTTTCAAACCACTATCATCCAAGGTGACTTAAATATCTGTGAAGACATGTCATCCTATTTCCAGTCCCAGGAAATTTTGAATGCCCCATTTTCAATAAAATACAGTAGTTTGATACTCTATAGTCACACGCTCTCATGGCCACAGTACACACAAACTGCCTCATCTCTAAAATTACTGAATCAGGTAGACCCCTCCCTAATCACATTCTCTTATCCTCTCAACTGGCGTGCCTAACTGTCATAATACATTTGTTCTCTTTTTACTTCAGGCCCTCTAATCCACACCCCCATTCATCTTAGACTTAATGATCCACCATTTCAAACTTTCTCCTGACAGTATCTTAAACACCTTTGCCTCATTATTCTCATTGCATCTGCAGCAAAAGCTCCTATCCTTTGTTTTTGTTTTTCATACCTAGGCTGCCAAGCACTGCTAGATGATCACATCTTGGTAGATAAGTATGATGATAGATTGATATTCACTAATTTCAACTGGGCCCTTTTCTTGGTGCAGTTCCCACAAAGGCAGAGCCTGGGACAAGGATCTGAATGTAAGTGGTTTATCTGGAGATAAACCCAAGTAAAAGAATTAAAAGGAGAAAGAGAAGACAGAGAGAGATGGCGAGGGAAATGGGACAGAGCGGGGGTAACCAACACAGGATATGTTGATGAGCAGATTACTACTGTGGGCTCAGTTCCATTGGAGACCTCCAAGACCCCACCTGTGAGTTGACCCCCATGTTTCTCTTTGTCATTGGTTGAGAACAGCTCTCAGTGGCCTAACTGCCTTTCATTCCAGGCTGCCTTGTGCACAAGTCACAAACTCCCAGCCAGAGAACACCCCCAGGCGACATTGTAGGTGTCTGCAATAGAAAGCTGTTAGCATGTTTGTATCAGAACCATCAGTGCCAAGGGGATTCAGTGGGGCAGCAGCAGCACATGCTGCAGCCCTCAATGTGTTCCAGTCTCTTTGATGTGTTACCCTAGTCACCTTCATCCCCCACCTTACAACAACTATTCCAAAATTCCTCCCATCACTGCAAATCTCTGATGCTCTTGTACCCTCACTCTCGGCAGATGACCTCACCTCCTAGTTCACAAGGAACACTGAAGATCTCAGAATGGAACTTGGCAAGATTCTGCCACCAATTCTAACATCCCACCCACATCCATACCCATCACTTCTCCCTCCACATCTCTGCAATAGAGGATGCATCTCTCCCCTATCTAAGGCCAAACTTCTCTGCCTGTTCTCAGTCCTGTCGCTTCCATCTGCTTGGCCACTGTCATCAGTTGATTGCCTCATCTCCCTCACTAGTCTTCAACGTCTGTCTCTCTGGCCTCCTCTTTCCCATCTTAAAACAAACAACTCTTGCCCAATCCGCATCCCATTCCATCTATTATCCTGTCTCTCCCCTCCTTTTCACACCAGAGTTTATTGAAAGAGTATCTTATATGTGTGGCCTTCAGTCTCTCTCCTCTCATTCATTTCCAGTCAGTCACAAATGACCTCCCTGTGGCAGAAGTCAGAGGATACCAGTCCTTATCCCTTTTGCCCTCTCAGCAGCATTTGACTCTGGAGATTCATTTCTCCCCTGGGCTCCCATTGGAGCAATTCTTTTGGTTTGTCTCCTTTCTTTGGCTCCTCCCATCTCAGTCTCTTTATTTACCTCCTCAAAGATGCTCTTCTCAGCTCTCCAGCCTTTCTTCACCAGTGGCCTTACCCACTTCCACACCATTAATTATCATGCCAAGGCTGATGATTCCCAGATCTACAGAAATAGTCCAGATTTCTCCCCTGACTTGACCTAAATATGCACTTGCTTAATGCACACACTCTGTTCTGTTATTTTAACCAAGTCATCAAACTTCCCTTAACCTATGTTCTTGGAAAAAACATGGAAATGAGAGCAACTACTTCTTACATCCTTTTGTAAATCTCTTCATTTTGAAATAATTGTAGTGTCACAGAAAGTTGCAGAGATAGTACAGAGAGGTCCCCTGTACCCTCACGTAGTTTCCCCTAATGGTTACATTTTATCTAACTATCATACAATATCAAACCCAGGAAACTGGCATTAAAACAATGCATGTAGTTCTATGAGTACAAATCAAACCCAGGACACTGACATTAAAACAATGTATGTTGTTCTCTGACGCGTTATCAACTATAGATTCATGAAACCACCACTGTAATCAGGACACAGAAGTATTCCATCACTACAAAGATCTTCCTTATTTGCTTCTTTTTAAAAATGTTTATTAAAAAAAAAAACATCAGATCCTTGAAAGAAGGGACATACATATTATTTTTCCATGTGTCTCAGTGTCTAACATGGTGCCTTGCTCTTAGAAGGCATTGCTAAGTGTTTGGGAAAACAAGAATGGAATAAAAGAAGGCAAATTCCGTGTGGGTCAAAGACATCAGCCTGGGAGCCAGGACAGACCATGAAACTTCTTAGCTCCACACCAGGAGCCAAGAGCCTGAGGACAGAGGCTTCCTCCCTAGATTTACATCCTGTTGAATGCGATGTTGGCAGACATAGGCTAGAAGTCAGAGTGGTGAGGCTTACCTCACATTCATTCCAACAATCACAGCCCCTGTCTGTAGCAGAGAGGAAGGACTTTCTCAGTCCAGGCCCTTTTTTGGGAATCTCTCACATCACACCATGTGGCCAGTTCCCCATTCCACCTATCTGATGTCTGCCCTGCTCTGCCTGACATCACCAGCACATTCCTGTGCTTTCTGGCAGCACCCAGGAGATCATCCAAACCTCAGCTTTTCTACTCAGCCAGCATGTGGGACATTTGTCTCACGGCTCAAGAAGAGTGTTTGGTCCTAGGGCATGATTGTAAAATTCTGCTTAATAGTAATTGCTCTTAATAGGTCATATTTGCTTGCTCAGAATTATCATAGTCAATAAGTGAACTCTGAAACTCAGGAGAGAGGCAAAACATAGAACAAAACAGCTAAAAAACTACAAAGACAGCTACACATATGTTCAGGTTATAAGCCCCCATATAGAACATGTGTGTGTGTACACCAACAAATTATAATTACTGTTGGAATGAGAAATAAAGGAGTATTTATCCAGCAGTGAGCTGTGTTATTATAATAGGTTTTAATTAGAGCAAAGGTCAAGTTTGTGTTCCCTTAATATCATGGTTAAAGTCTCTGAAATCAGAAAACTTAGCATAGAATCTTTGTGTCAGCAATGAGCAATTTGTGTTGTCTATTCCGTAAGTCTCAAAGAGCAATTATTTGATTTCCAAGCCTGAAACTCATTTATCAGTTGTAGTTTATAAACTTGGTGGAGCAATTTGTGAGCTGACATCAAGCTTACAGCAGGGTGGTTTGGAAACAGTCCACATGGGGATTCATTTCATTTCCTTTTTTTTTTTTTTTCCTTTTTTTAGACAGGGTCAATCTTTATCACCCAGGCTAAAATGTAATGATGCAATAACAACTCACTTCCACCTGGGAGGTCCAAGCTGAAGTGATCCTCCAGCCTCGGCCTCAAGTAACTGGGACTATAGGCATGCAGCACCACACCCAGCTAATTATTTTATTTTATTTTTTATGTTTATATAGACAGGGTCTGTCTATGTTGCCAAGGCTGGTCTCAAACAGTCCTCCCACCTCAACCTCCCAAAGTGTTGGGATTACTGATGTGAGCCACTGTGCCTGACTGGATTCATTTTCAGTGGTGGAAGTGAGAGGCATGGAAATAAGGCAAAACCTGGGCCCCTTGGTCTTAAGAAACTTGGAGATTTGGAAGTACAGTGTGTGTTGTATATTGAGTAGAGGGCCTGACTGATCTCACATCAGAGTCTCTCTGATTTTCAAGCCCTACATTCACAGACAGCACACACAGAATGGATGGGCATGTATGGAAGTTCAGGGATCTTTGTTTTGTTCACTGGCATTTCCTCAGTGCTCAAAATAGTGCATGGTGGGTTTCATGGCTTTTTTTTTTTTTTTTTTTTTTTTTTTACTAATTGTTCAATACGTAACAATGTGTGCAAAAGAGAAAGAACAAATCAATAGGTATTCTGTTGCCAACAAGCCCAGAGTGTCACATTCAGACTCAACCACAAAGCCTGTTAGATCACAGCAAAAAGAAAAAGGAGAGGGGAAAAACCAGGAGCCAGAAGAGTAAGGACTGAGGGTGAACTGAAGGAGCTCTGGAAACTCTCTCTGATCCAGGTCCAGCTTGAGTTTGCTTTAGACAGGTTGGTTCAATCTAACGTGTGGGCCACATCAGTGGGAGTTCCAGTGACGGGCTAGAATCAAAGTCAGGTGGATGGAGAAATGGCCCGACTCAGAAGAGCCCAGCCGGTGGCTGAAGGTATTAGAAAAGGACTTGGTTTTGTAGGGGAGGGACTTGGCAAGAACGAAGAACTTTTGAAAGGGCAAAAGAACTAGAGTGCAGGACTCTGGAACTGATCAAAGCCCAGACTTACTGCATTAACATGGTAGGTACCTGGGGAAGGCTGTATTGGCCAGTTTACACAG